GGCATTATCACTTGGATAAAATCCATTGGTAATTTGACCGAATTTTAAACCCGGGAGCTTAAGGACCGAAGACTCGTTCTACTTCTAGACTAGCTCGCTTCCTTATTGGGATTAGGTGTTTGAATAACTTTTCATACTAATATTTTTCAAACATTTCCTCCCATAAAATGTAATTATAGACTTACTAGTCAACCAGACGGTTAGTATTATACATTCAATAATAAGTGTTCAATAGTAAGTGTTATATATTCAATGCTACAAAAATAAGGTGCATTACTTTTTTTTGCAAAATAAAACGGTTATTTATATATTTTATCCAGAAAATGCTTAAATTTGTTTGGTTAATTTTACGCCTGAATAAACTATTAAAACTTTAAGCCAAATTTAAAGTTATCATAAGGTATTGTGATGTATTAAGAATTACGAGTGGGATATTTTACTCACATCATGGCTAATGCCATTTATCTTCATTTAAGTCATAAGCTGGATAGAAAACCAGAAAGCTCTTGCGTATTCTGGTGTTATGGCTTCTGAGTGGTATTTTATACAAATCTTGGATTGTGTGTTCAATTTAAATTATAAAACAATTTACAGTTTATTTTTTCATGCTTGAACCCGGATATCTTGGAATATAATATACATATTATGAACTATCTTCTGTGGTTAAGTTTTGTATTTTTTATCGTTTGAAAATATGTTTAAAGAATCTTTTAAATATATAAATACAAAGGATATGGGAATTCCCTTAAGTATTCTTTTCCCCCTACAATAGTGTTTATCCTTTATATTAGTGTCCTACCTAAAATGGGCGTACCTGCTTGGCCCAATATATTACACTTTTTGGTTCATTCTAAATACATTACTAGCAACTACAGCCACAATCTGTTCTGCAAAAGGATCATGGATGATGAAATGGCGGTGGTTCACTCTTAAAATACGAAAATCCTGTGAAACTAGCCTTTGATTTTACATTTTAAGTATCATAGTAATTTAAACTTTAAAACACAATCTTGGAATAGAGTTTGACCATAAGAGATGGAACTACACATACAATACAACCATAACACAACTCTCTCTAGACGAACGTATTGTTGAAGCAGTTGTGCGTGTGCGTATGTGAGTCTAGATGTGTCAAGATAATTGACATCAATTGGTCCTTCTAGTGTCTTATTGGCTATTTATCAATTATTGCTGTAAAACTTCCACAGTTTTCCAGATTGAGCTGTTCTTCTGCTCCAACAATTAGGTTCTAGCTTTTCATGTATCTGGGATGCACACAGGAATTGCACATGCAATCGGTTTTTAGTGCAAATAATTGTACAGTAAAATTATTGCAGTTATTTCAACCTATCTTTCTTAATAAAAGTGCTTCCCAACCACTGGTTTACAAAGTTACGGTGTAGCTAATAAGCTAAACGTCACTTTAGCAGGATTAGAAAACACCAATCAAATCTATATAATTAATACGCTATATGAAACTTTGTCGGTTGAACTCCTCCGCCATTTCTAAACCGATTTTATCCATTGAAGTCTCATTGGAAAGAGCGAGTCGCGTAGATTTCCAAACTGGCCTTACATTTTTTTTAAAGTCCGTTGGGCTCTGCCCCAGTGGCTTTGAAAGTTCCCATGTTATCCTTATGAAGAACATAATTGTTTACATTTTGATCAGCTGTATAATTTTATTGCTGTTATTTATTTTTCAATTCAATGAAACGCATTGAGTACATTTATTTACTATTTGAGTTTGTGTAAACATAACCCCCAAGACGGATCGTGTTAGTATGGTTGTATCTTAAATTTGTGTATTTATCGCTGTTTTGTGTCGCTATGAAGGATCGTGTTAGCATGATTGTAACTTAAATTTGTGCATTTATCGTTGTTTTGTGTAGCTATAATTTGTTTATTTGTTGTTTTTTCTTTTAAATGCCTCCGACGCTACTACAACGAAATATGTACAGGAGGCGTAATCGTGATAACGACCGCAGCTACAGAACAGTGACACGTAATAGGCTCAACTATTAGGTTAAAAATGCGCCCTAACACTACCCCAAAACAAAACAACTTTTCGTTCTCAATTGGCCCTCTATCAATGACCTGTGTTGCCTGTACAGCGAGGCATTTTGAGAAGGAGACGAAAACCGGCCGGAATGCTTTAGGTTTATCAATAACGAAGATAAACATGGTCTGAGTTACACACCGGTAATCTTTGAGTTGACTCTTTTAAATTCATTGTAAATATGGCTGTTATTCGTTTTGAAATAACTCCTGTAATACTTTGCAATTGCTCGAATTCGAGCAACATGTACACTAGTAGAGATAATTTACCAGCGGTTTGTTCAAAAACTAGTCTTTATCACCATCAAGTTTCAAGACAAGTGTCAAATAAACAGTTTGAAGATGGCGTGACATCATTGTGTTGACGCTAGTTTGGGTAATGGATGACAAAGTCACAGGTGATCTGTTATTGTCAGACAACTACATGCCATCACAGTCACACAGCTGTTCAATACCACATGTCAATCAGCTGATCTCTCACATCTCCTGCTTTGACAGTGAACATGTCTAGACTCTTCAGTGTAATGATTGAAGTCTTGTATAATAATCACACAACTTGAATTGGATAAATTCACATTATTTATACTTCATTAGTAAGACTTACTATTTAGGACAACTGTAATCAATATTAACACGATACATCTTTAGGTCATGGTCACAGTGTATTCTATCATTTATCCCACGATATTAAAAATATGATGTGTTTGAATGTAGGCCTAAATAATAAAGGTTCTTGATTATAAGGATTTTTTATGTTTTTTCCAATGATTGTATTGGTTACTTTTGTCTTTATTTTTTTTCAATTCTCATCCATTTAAATAATGTTTCTGATACTCCAGGTGCATCTGAACCTATCTATTCTTAATAACAATTTAACGTAGAATGTGATGGTAGTGTTTAAGACACAAAATTGTATTTTTAAACCACCAAATTTGGAGTTTTCTGCTAAATAAACGTGTTTCTTGATTATCAAAATAATCTTTCTTTGAGTGAGTGTGTGTTTTAGAATTTTTTTCAAATTGTGTTTTGTCACATTCGGGTTGGTGTACCAACCAAAAATAGTTTTAACACTAGGTCAAGACCACCCTATATTCGTAAAAGACATATTCACGATAAAATATGAACACAGGGTTATATTTATTGTTTAACGCCAATTTTATATTTTACTCACATAGTAAATAAATGCATCAGTAATTTAAAATATTCAAAAAGGACACCATAGTACCTTTCCATTTTAGACTTTTTGTAGAAATCTCCGCACTCACTTCCTGGACGACACATTTTAGGTTCTTGGTGGTAAAAGATTACTAGATTATCGTACTGAAGCGTGTGTGTGTGTAACCACTATAAAAATATTCTAGAGAATTAATCAATTTGATTGAGTTTCATACTTGATTTGAGTAAAACATATAGTATGAACGGTTGTTAAAAGCATTTAAAAGATTAAATCGTCCTTCATATTTATGTGGTTTTGATCCAAGAGACAAGTGAAATCGTCCTAAAATCGTTCGATTTCAAGAGGAAGGCCACTGCAAAATCAATTCAACACACACAATACTGGTCATATATCTTAACAGCTGCTTGCATAAGGCGATAGCGTTTCTCAGGGAATATATTACGTGCTTTGGAAAATTCTCACTTGTTTATAACCTTGCTGTTGTTATCTATTTTGATTCACAAGATCTTTTACGGTTTGCCGTTAAAAATAATATAACTATAAATGTATCTTATGCATTTACTAAAAATATACTTTAGTGGTATGTATTATCTCACTGGCTCTTTTAACAAACTCCTTTTCAGCTACCCTTATTTAAATTTGCAGATTAGTTTGAAAGTAAATAATTATTCAGTTAGTTCGTCCACAAAAGTTAGGTGGTTTTAGGGGAAGCTCACCAACACCTTTTTCCTTAATGTATGTTGAAGGTTGACAGGTTAAATAAAAATGTATACAGGGTGTTACAGACTTCAGGGAATGATAGTACTGATCAAAAAGCTCATATAAACGGAAGTCGAAAAAAATTTCGTTTATCCCCTAGCCGCAACTTTGTATTTTTACAGTACAATTTATATCTCAAGAATTATTCAAGCTACGGAAACCAGTCTTTGCACATACATTTATTGTGTCAAGAGGCAATCAAATAAACATAAATAAGTAATTTTCTTTTCCTTTTAAGTTAACGAAATGGCGGCCATTTAAAAATTGTAAACTTAAATTACTAAAACATGGTTCTTTTTATGAAAGATTTCAAGAATACTTTTATTTATCATTTTTAGTTCCCTATAAAATGATACCAAGTTCAAAAAGGTAAAAAGAGTAGCTGAAATATCACGATTTTTAGTTGGAAATTGGGGTAGAAAAAGGCTAAGCTAGTCAGGTTTGCCTCATTTTACGGCTAAAAAAACATTATATTTCAGCTAATCTTTATTAAATCTGTTTAAATTTTGAATTGTTTGATAGAGAATTTAGAATGCTAAATAAAAGTGCTCGAAATTTTTTCATAATATCAGCCATAATTTAGTACTTTAAGTTTACAAGTTTTAAATTGCCACCATTTTGTTAACTCAACAGAAAATTAAATACTTATGTTTTTTATTACCTCTTGACATAATAAATGAATATATGTGCAAAGTTTGAATGCCGTAGCTTGAATAATTCTTGAGTAATAAATTGTTTTGTAAAATATACAAAATGGCGGCTATCGGCTAAACTTAATTGTTTTCAACCAATGTTTACAAAACCCTTTGTTTAGATTGATTAATACTATCAGCCCCTGAAGTTTTTGACACCCCTTTATGAACACCCTGTATTTATATAAATGTTTACATGTTACCTAAGTTAGGTTGAAGTGGAGGGGGCAGATTTCTTCCCCTAAAACCACCTAAATTTTGTGAACGGGTCTGTCATTTATTATATATAATTTTTAAGATTAATTTTTGTATTGCAGATAGTATGAAGAAGAGGTGAGTCGCAGCCATGGACATAGAACTGCCCGTGTTGGGAGATGGCAGCATCGTCCTGCCACTGGAGGACTGCAACTCCATGAACGTCTCCAATCACACGGACTGGAAGGTCATGTACTTCAACACCACGGTCCACTGTCTGGAACACGCCCCTGTCCTGACCGATGGGGCGTACACCCGCGCAGTGGTCCTGGGCATCATGGCCGTCATGAGCCTAGTGGGCAACGTGCTCACCATCTACAGCATACACACCTCCAGGTAAATAGTGCAAAATTTACACATCTCTAGGTAAATACTGTTGAATGTAGACACCTTCCGGTAGATACTGCAGAATATAGACACCTCCCGGTAGGTACTGCAGAATGAATACACCTCCAGGTAAATACTGCAAAATATATGCACCTCCAGATAAATATTGTCAAATGTACTCACCTCCAGGTAAATACTACAAAATATACTCACCACTAAGTAATACTGCAAAATTTACAAATCTACAGGTAAATACTGCAAAATAAACACACCTCCAGGTAAATATTGTCAAATATACTCACCTTTAGGTAAATACTGTCAAATATACACACCTCCAGGTAAATACTACAAAATATACTCACCACTAAGTAATACTGCAAAATTTACAAATCTACAGGTAAATACTGCAAAATAAACACACCTCCAGGTAAATATTGTCAAATATATTCACCTTTAGGTAAATACTATCAAATATACACACCTTCAGGTAAATACTGTCAAATATACACACCTCCAGGTAAATACTGCAAAATATACTCACCTCCAGGTTAATACTGTCAAATATACACACCTACAGGTAAATAATGTCAAATATACTCATTACGGTACTCATGTTCTATGGCCGAAAGTAAAATACAGCTAAAAAAAATACAAAAGAGTTTTTTTTATTTCGTTTAACAAGTACGAAATCTTATTTATGCAAAAGAACAAACTGGGAATAAACGATGATATTCATCTGTTGGCGTAAAATGTCAAAAGTTTAAAATTGAGACTGTTGGGACTTGACTTTTTCAGTTGAGTTCTTGAGTTTAATACTTTTGAAGTTCGAGGAGAAAAACGGAATTATCTTCGGTTTTAATGTGCTGAGTCGTCAGAACGTATTATGTTGTTCATTCTTGTCGTCACCGTAATATTTTACATGAAACTTGTTTTTATTACAAAAATAATTACAAAATTAATAGATTAAAATATGTTTTAACATCTTTACTATTATATTTTGAGGATTCGAAGAAATGTTTTAGTTCTTATTCAATCCATATATTTATTTATAGCAAGTATGAAATAAGTTTCCAATCTGTTTTGATTTGCATTTCTCGAGAGAGGTTAAGAGAAGCTCTTGGGTTAAAAATGAACTCCGTTATTTATGGGAACATAGAGAGAAGATATAGGCAATGTGGGGCCCTCTGAATATACACCACCAGTTCCTCTTAGCAAAGCACTAAATAAACCAACAGTCGCTCTTCTTTCTGTCCGTGAGTAACCGAAAAGGCAAACTCTCAGTTTAGGATGGTCATGTTTTTAAAACTCTAATATGTATATTAGAGTCACTTATTTCTAGAGTTAGTTCTAGAGTTATTTCTAGAGTTCTAGAGTTTATTTTTAGAGTTCACTTATTTCTACAGTAGTTGGTTTGGCCTCCAGGTATTGTTTACTAAATGTTCATTAATTGGAAAAGATATATTATGCGTATACTACATCTTTAGAGAGGTAAACTAACTCTTAAATAGGTAGACTTCTAAATTGATGGATTTCTACCTATTTAAGAGTTAGTTTACATATATTTTCCTGTACATTAGGAAAAATGTTGATTATTAACGTTTGATAGCTAATATTTACAACATTAAAGGACTTCTGGGTTGTAACATAAAACTGTTTTTGTTGTTTTATATTTTTTTAATAACTTTAAAATCGTGAAACCATTAATAATTTAGTAGGTACAGTGTGCCTCCAATCGCACCTAACCGTGAATATTTTTCTTTACCTACTTACAATTATATTTTTGTGCTATATCTATTGGAGACGTGGGACATTCCCAAAAACAACAGTCCCACTACGGTGGGACCAAAAATGATCAGTATCTATATATTAATAGACAAGCATGTTTCTTTAATACCTTTTTTCTCAGCTCGTGTGCATCGCAAGGAAAATCTATTCACCTGTGTTCTATTTCGCCTGTGTGCAGAATCTATTCATAAATTAAAATAGACTAAAAAACATAATAACTCAATTTAAAATTTAAAAAACTAACATGGACCTTATTGGTTGCCATGCTGGTGACGAAGTAACCATAGACTGACCGTATGTTTTATCTATGAAATAATAGAGCACTATAAACACAAAATCAAAACAATAATGGAAGAAATTCCAACCACGTGTTTTATTTACAGCGTGGGGTGAAAATAGAGAACTCTGTACACTACATATTTTTAGCCGAGTTTTCGAGAACTGGACGACCTCTAGTAAATATTAATCCCCAACAAATGTGTGTGTGTAAATACAGCAAAGCAAAGAGTGGTTATGGTTTTGATATAGCTTGTATTTAACTCATTGTATTGGAATTGACAAATTATTTCATCATAAATGTTAAAAATATAGCGAATTGAATTTTTAATCAACTGTCCAAATGTAATATGATTCTAGATATTATTGTTACGAAGACCATTTAGGTGTAAGATAAAAATCCTGTAACAAACTGTTAATAATTGAAACACTGCCTTTCTCGTTTAAAACAGCTCAAACCATCTCGCTTACATCGTATCGGTGAGCAAGCGTTGCAATCCTTCAAGAATAGAACGGCTGTGTGCAAAACATCTATGTTAACGTAACTTCATTCTGCATTATCAGGAGCTCAATCGTCACTATCGACATTGATTTTTTAAACAGCTGATTAGTTGAAGCTCGAATCATTGCAATTTACTTCTTCTCTCTCAATCCTTGAACCCGATTGGTCCGTTAACCGTGTTTTTATGAAAAACTAAGCTGTTATGAAAGTAAACAATGCTGTTATGAGAAACTTCTAAGAATTCTAACAATTCTAAGAACTGAACTGAAACGGTTACTTAAAAAAATACCCCCGCCGCAGCAAAACCTGCCGACTAAGTGAATTTCCATTTGTCTGAATTGATTTTCAGTTAAATATATTTTAATACCCCGGGGGTAAAGCCCCGTTCCCATGGTCCGATCATGCTGGTTCGCGAACTCATTCAAGTTTATCCCGCTTTACACCTTTAAACCAAATTTCATCAAAATCGGACAAAAATTACTCAAGTTATCGCGTTCATGGACGTATATATATATCTAATATATAAAATTCTCGTGTCACAGTGTTTGTCTGCAAACTCCTCCGGAACGACTTCACCGATCGTTATGAAATTTGGTGTGTAAATTCTGTAGGTATGCGAATTGGACGTAGACTATTTCCCGTTTCGAAATTCTTAAAAGGGCTCCGCCCCAGTGGCTCTGGAGTTTCCCATGTTAACCTTATGAGAAATGGAATTAATGAATCTTAACAGCTGTTTCAATTAAACAAGTTGGTTCTGTTCTATGATGTTCAATAGCATTAAAGTTACAAGGATTACCAACAGGGTGCAGCACTATTATTTCTTTTACATTTATGACAACAGCTAATTTGCAACACAAAGGGGAGTGAGCGTAGCGAACGAGCTCCAACCCAAAGGTGAGTGAGCGTAGCGAACGAACTTCAACCAGGACGTGATTGAGCGATGCGAAGTAGCGAACGAGCTAACCTGAAGGCAAGTGAGCGCAGCGAACGAGCTAACCTGAAGGCAAGTGAGCGCAGCGAACGAGCTCCAACCTAAAGGTGAGTGAGCGTAGCGAACGAGCTCCAACCCAAAGGTGAGTGAGCGTAGCGAACGAACTTCAACCAGGACGTGATTGAGCGATGCGAAGTATTGAACGAGCTAACCTGAAGGCAAGTGAGCGCAGCGAACGAGCTCCAACCTAAAGGTGAGTGAGCGTAGCGAACGAGCTCCAACCCAAAGGTGAGTGAGCGTAGCGAACGAACTTCAACCAGGACGTGATTGAGCGATGCTAACGAGATCATCTTGAAAATTAAACGTAACGGTACTTTCTTTCCATCGGTCTGTCTTAGGGGAAACCTATAACTTAGGCGATACGAAGTTCGCCGGGTCAGCTAGTATATATATATATAAATCTATATCTAATATATAAAATTCTCGTGTCACAGTGTTTGTCTGCAAACTCCTCCGGAACGACTTCACCGATCGTTATGAAATTTGGTGTGTAAATTCTGTAGGTATGCGAATCGGACGTAAACTATTTCCCGTTTCGAAATTCTTAAAAGGGCTCCGCCCCAGTGGCTCTGGAGTTTCCCATGTTAACCTTATGAGAAATGGAATTAATGAATCTTAACAGCTGTTTCAATTAAACAAGTTGGTTCTGTTCTATGATGTTCAATAGCATTAAAGTTACAAGGATTACCAACAGGGTGCAGCACTATTATTTCTTTTACATTTATGACAACAGCTAATTTGCAACCAAAAGGTGAGTGAGCGTAGCGAACCAACTTCAACCTGGAGGCGAGTTAGCGTAGCGAACGAGCTAACCTGAAGGCAAGTGAGCGCAGCGAACGAGCTCCAACCCAAAGGTGAGTGAGCGTAGCGAACGAACTTCAACCAGGACGTGATTGAGCGATGCGAACGAGATCATCTTGAAAATTAAACGTAACGGTACTTTCTTTCCATCGGTCTGTCTTAGGGGAAACCTATAACTTAGGCGATACGAAGTTCGCCGTGTCAGCTAGTATATATATATATAAATTTGAACGAATGGTGTTTTTGGCCTCTGGGGACATCACAATGAAAAAGTAAATCGGTCCCGGGTCTAGGTCTTACCGTGCCACCTACGGTAATGGCTACTTCCCTATAAGGAAATTCGCTAAAATGGTCGGAGGTAAAATTCATCATGACGTTGATTTGTATGTTATATTATAAAATTGGACTTTTCCAACGTGTCTTGTGTTTTAAAGTACACAACGTTTCTGGAGGTTCAATATAATAATATAACATATCGGCTTTGAGTATGAAACGTACTTCTTCCCTTTGTTTCACATAAAAAAACTTTCATCTTGAGGTTGTCAAACAAAGAAATTCGTTACGTTTCCTGTATAAATTAATGTTAGCCTAAAACCATTAAATAATAACAGAATCACGCAAGTGATTTATCCAATGTCGCTCAACGTACCTAATGTTTGCGAAGTAGTTTGGATTTATAGGATTTCAACAACAAGAAACTTGTCAAACTACATATCGTATTGTTGACCAAGTAGGATGATACTGTAGCGATATTAGAGTTTCAAAGCCTTTACACAAACACATATAGAATACAAAAAACTTTCCTTGGTTTCGACTCTGAATATTAGTTTCCAAGAACTGGAAGAGCCGTAACTATAAAGAGTTTGTTCAAACAATATTCGTTTTTGTTTTTGTTACCTACTTTTGTTTCTTACAATCATTAACTTTTTGAACGAAACTAATAATTCCTGAGATTGATTTACAAACGTGAATAGTCTATGGGACCCCTCAGTGAGGTAATACACGTTGAACTTCAGTAATTATAATGTAATAGTATTGTCCTTTCCTAATTAGAATACTATAAACTATGATAGACCGTGAACTTTGTTACTTATATTATTTGCCGGTTATTTATTGGTTCGTACCTATTATCGTGGGGGATTTGAGGAAAAGTTGAACACATCAAATACTGCTAGAGAGAGGTTTTAAGGCTTAGCTCTGGCTTCTGTCAAAATATCTGACAAAACCCACACAAATATAAAGCCTTCACTCAACTTCAGCTGTTTCGACCGATTCTAACAAATCTGTAAACATTTTCTATTAGCTTCAGAGACTCTAAGGGGTTCAAGATTTTCATTCATGTGATTTGATTAGTCTCTAAATATTTCTTATGATTTCTAAGTTTTTGAATAAGAATTGCTCACTTCCTACCACAACAAACTTGATTGTAATATATTTTAAAATATCTACTAAGTGTATATACGGAAACGTACATCGATAATAAGATATTACTTTTACGCCACACTACATTATTTTGACGAACTTCCCACGCAAGGATTTAGTCCAGAAAACAGCTGTTTGCCGCCAGCTTATTCAAATGGGGTTTCATTGCGTAATACTGTTCTGCAATGAGTTTTACCGGACACCAATCAGCTGATTATACTGTATTTGCGTGGCAATAAATGGTTATAAACAAAAACCTAAATGACTAGTGATTTTTAGTCCTTTAGTTGGTGGAAATATATAAGGATCTGTACAGATTTGTTAGTATAGCGTAAACTATCGTACGTAACTCGTCCAAAATGTGTGTACCGTACTCGTATGGTAATCCCGTACTCGACTTCGTCTCGCACTGGAACGACCACACTCGTCCGGTAAACCCTTATTTTCAGGACTAGTAACGTAATATACTATTTTGTACCACTGCATGGAAATTATCACATTGCTACACCTGTAAACAGTACTCAAAATAGCTGATTTCTGCTTTATTCCTTTTCGTTCACTAAATTAGGTGATTTCTCTGTTGGCGTTTCTATAAAACACTAACTTACGGCAAGAAATAACATAACTTGGCAAAAGCCAACATAACCCAAATGACATTTAATTTACAAACTAAAAAGTCAATCTGTGTGTTATGGTAAATTCATTATTGTCGTAGGAAAAATAGTGTGTGTATTACGAGCACAAACAGTTTTCGCTCTCAAAATGTATGGCCGCACTCATGTAAAGAAAGCTTCGTGCGGCCATAAACAGTTCTCGATCGGCAATGACGTACTTTGCGCTCTTAATACACAAATAGCTATTTCCTACTACTGCATGAAAATGATCACATTGCCACACCTGCAAAATAGCTCATTTCCGCTTTATTCAATCTCGCTACCTGCTCGCTAAATCAGCTGATTTCATCTGGTAAGCAATTGACGTAACCAGCAAAGCAAATATAGCCTAAATGACATTATATACAACCAAAACTGTACTCTATGATGAGTTAGTAGTAGGAAACCCTTGTGTATTGAGCACAAACAGTAATTGTCGCTCTCGAAATTTAAGCTTCGTGCGGCCATCTACAGTTCCATACTTTGGGCTCTTGCACAAGTAATAGTTTTTGTTTGTTGCCCAGACACTCCCGTCGGCATCGCCAGCAGTCCGCCATGTACTCGCTGATCCTGCACCTCTCTGTGGCCGACCTGCTGGTCACCGTGTTCTGCATCGCTGGCGAGGCCCTGTGGAGCTACACCGTGGCCTGGCTCTACGGCAACCTCGCCTGCAAGCTGTTCAAGTTCCTGGAGATGTTCAGCCTCTACCTCAGCACCTTCGTGTTGGTGCTGATCGGCGTGGATAGGTTCCTCGCTGTCAGATATCCCATCAAGTCACTCAGCACGGCCAAGAGATGCAACAGACTCGTAGCGTGCGCCTGGGGCTTGGCTGCTCTGCTTAGTTTACCTCAGGTAAGCGTGTTTAGATTTCTTCAAAATGGGTTTGTTTTGCCGCTAGTCGCTTTCTTTCTTAATCCTACCCTTATGTTTCACACATTTGAATTGTGGCGATTTGGTGACTCAGTCGGTAGCGTGACACACCCCTAATCCAAGGTATTTTACGCATTGGTTTAGTCACTAATATGTATCAGTACAGTTTATTATTGTACTGTTCCAGCTCATCCCTAGCATCTTTGATAGGTAAAAAGCCAAAACACTATAGTCCATATAAAATGTGGGTAAATGGCTAACTTAATGGAACACTAATCGCACGGATCGCAATGACTCCACCAATGAGACTGAAGCATCATGGCCGACCAATCCGAAACAAGATGACAATCGTAATGGACAACACCTACACGGGACAACATTAACTCAACATCACCAACAATTACTTTCAAAACAAGGATTTGCTTCATGTTATTTTATTAGAATCAAATAAATTATTACGATTGAATAAGTCTATAAATTTGGTGCTATTTATTTATAATAATTGCTAATGATTTCTTACAACCAAATAGTATATCTGTAAAGCTGTAAACTTACTCTAAAATTGTAGAAAGTAAAAGCCTTCATTAAATAAAATAAAATGTTCATACTTAATCGTAGACAGGCAGACATCAAGCTCAGACAAACAGGATTTAGAAATCACGATAAGATGAGAAGTTTTGTACTTTCAGCAGGGAATATCAATACCAATACACAACTCGTGCTTCCGGATAGTAAACTTAGTTTAGGCTTTCGTGAAAAGGTAATAAAATGCTCATACCATTAAAGTCAGCTAAACCGATGTTAATGTCTATGTGATAACTTCAATTAACAAAACGTAGCTTTAACATGAACACGATAGAATGACTAATATTTCTATGATAAAAATTAGCTTTGCATTAGTTTGAAAATTACATTGTGGTTTAAGCATCATTGTTGTACAATAATTTTTTTAGTTTGAAATTAGAAAATGGTGAATTTGTCAACCTGCATACATGTTCAATTTCCATGCCAAAAGCACAGTGTGTATTTGCTAATAATTGCTAATCCCGATAATCCCTTTGTTAACCAACGAAACCATAAATTACAGTTTCTGCTTCATTATAATTGGCCAAACTATAACTAATTACCTCTCACCACGCAACACTAAGCTTGCCATTTATATTCATTTTAGTTAACTAAGTTAACAAATTTAAGTCAAAAGATGAGAAGAAGTCATTAATTAATACTATAACAGCAATGGTAATTAGAAAGCGCATGATTACTGTCTACGAAGTTACTTATGTATCATTTTCGTTCTGTCAAAAACATTTATTTAAGTTTAATTTAGCTTACGATATTTTTCACATTGCAAAATATAGTATGTCGGTCGAATTTAACGATATAATCAAAGCTGCAATAATATGTATAAAATGAGGTGAAATAAGGTGCCTTCTTTCTTATCCCTAAATATATACTCGGATAAAATTTGTATTTCATTTACTAACCCTAAAGAAACGTCATTACCTGCTTATTTTTTATTTTATTTTATTTTTTTTTCTGGATAGGATACAGTCCTGTAATAGCCACAGTAAGGGTCCAGCTCTAGTACATCACGATTACACCATGTAAATTTGTTTTTAAGCTTATGTAAAAACAATTTATGTGAAATTATCAAGTAGAGTTATAGATGAAGCAGTAAAGGATTATAAAGGAACTATATTTAATTGCTATGTTAACCTCAGTAATCAGCTTTGTGTTTATAATCGCTTAGTGATTTTTTATAGAACCTTTTTGTAAATAATTGACTCGTCTAACAAGCAATTATTTACTAGAGAGTGGCCAAAGATTAAAACACTGTTTTCAATGCATATTTAGTTTTAAAAAGCTATAAATGTTTGCTTAACAAAAAATACTAAAATGCCATTGAATTATTATTAGCTTATAAACTTTGCAAACATTAACATTATTCATGTCAACTTGAATGCAACTTGAAACCCTAATTATTTAAAGCTTCCAACCGACCTTTTGGTGCATTAGTAAGAAAATATTGCTTTTTAGCGAATTTCCCATATAGGGAATAAGCTATTACCGTAGTTCTCATGGTAAGACCTAGACCCGGTACCAATTTACTTTATTCGTCTTTATGTCCTCATAGGCCAAAAACACTATCCGATTGAATTCATATGTATGTGTGTATCCGTTAGCACGATGATTTGAGTAAAAAAATCTTATTTCGATTAAATTTTGTAAAAACGTGTAAACCTACGTTTATTTTAACGAGTTCACGAACCAGCATAATCAGACTATGGGAACGGGGATTTATGGGGTTTTATGGGGTAAACATTGATTTTTTCCCATTTTCACCCTAAAAACATAAAATTTTGTAATTTTTCTTCAACCCATGTTGTAGAGCTTAAAAAAGAAATAATTTTGGATATTGAAGCATTGTTGTATGCCCAACGGTTACGGAGATAGTTAAAAAATTGTAAATTTAAAATTCCCATGTTATTCTTATAGAGAATAAAAAAACTGTTGCAGACTGCTTGTTTATGGATGTATTTTAATCAAATTTGGCAATTTTGTTTATTTCGTACTAAGCCATCAACATTTCAACAAAAAAAACACACCTCAATATCTTTCCTGTAGCAGCAGACCTAAGTACTCACTAAAATTAATTTTATTTAAATAGGAAATAAATCTGACAATTTTTAGGGAATATTTTAGTAGAAATTCAGCCGGGTAAATGTAAATTCGCTTAGTCTGCAGGTTTGCTGGGGCGGGGGTATTATTCTGAGACATTGGACAACATTTTGTTTGCCAAGTGGTTAAGTACACTATATTTTCACTATATTTTAATTGTAAAACTTCTAAATTTTTTTTTTAGTGGTGAATTCCAAAACATGAAGTATATATTTATGATAATCATTAGTAACTTGCCAATTTCAACGGAAGACGACTATTAAGATGGGCCCCCATAAAACAATGATTCTTACTCTTGGAAATGTAGTATTGAATTTAAAAGTACAGTATTTGTCGTTGCAGTATTTGTAAACACACAATTGCAAGAGTACTCTAACACATGTGTTTAGATGGCGATTTTCCACGTGGTCCGAGGACCCTTCTACGAAGAGTTCTACCAATGCGTCACATACGGGTTCTACACGGAGCGCTGGCAGGAACAGCTGTACACCACGTTCAGCTTCATGTGCATGTTCATCGTGCCTCTCATCATCCTTATATCTACCTACGTCTCCACCATCATCACAATATCACGTGAGTCATTGAATATTTCGTGTAGCTGAGTAGATGAGTGGTTAAAGTGGTCTTATACTTTATGACGTCACCGGTTTGTATCCTGAAAAGAGTCAGTGGCTTTTAGATAGTTGTGGCCTAGATAGTTGTGGCCTAGATAGTTTAGGAAACTAGACCTTGCTTTACTTGATTATTGGGCATTAAATAAATAATTCTGGGCAAGGTGATCTTTGTCCGAAACATAACTATCGTCATCTATTTGAATATTTATAGGCATGCACTGTAGATGCGATACTCCCTGGTGTGGATTAACGTCCGCACTAGTGAGTACTACGACTATCCGCAGTACTATCCTGATAATCACCCGAATTCGTAAATTACAAGGCCAAAATGTTGTTCGGATCCCACTATAAACTGTAGATCCCTTAGTTGCCAATGGCTGTATGGGCTATTAATTAATAGTTGTGTGTAAGGAATATGTTGGCCTTAGTCACTGACAAGACTACAAGATTGTGCCACTCATCCTACACCAGAGTTCGTATGGTCGCCATTTCGGAATAAAGTATTAAAATATTAAACACTATACCTTCACACATTTTGTTAAGAACGTTTGCTTAAAAATACTGTACGTACTTGGTGTGTCAGAGTCGAACAATTATATTCTTATCTTATTTCAAAACTGTTCTTTGGAACTAGAACTTTACAATACTAGCCTACTGTAAATCACCAAATCACTATCCAAGTACGCAGCTATATAAAGTGTATTTTGACCAAAATATGAATGAGATGAGTTTACAGGAGTGTATTGATTTGATTTGATTTGATTATTGTGTATGTTTTGTGAAGTGTTACTACTAAGATATTCGTTAGTCTTTATCTGTTTATCAAAATCAAATGATCAAGGACAGTTGGGGTCAGTTTTGAAATGCCATAAAAGTATTTTAAGATCAAAACAATGTTACCATAGTGTTATCTTATCAATAAAAATACTTATAATGTAAAATGGAACTACTGAAGTAAGGGTTTACCGTTCATCAAGATTTGTTGTTCAATCAATCACAAACTTTCCCAATTGCTTTACCATGAATTACCTTGTCTTGTAAGCTGTAACCTTTGATAAAATAGTTTTGAGTGTTTTCTGTAGAAATATTTTTATCACATTTATTTATTTAAAGAAAGGCGAAGCAGCCTTGTAAGGATATTCGGGTCTGAGACCATTATCACTTCTGAATACAGGTGCATCTGACCTCCCCATTATACCTTTGTACATTTCGCCTTTGGTCCACTTCAAGCCCTCAGTTCGAGTCTTTCTGCTCTGTGTTTTCTTCTTCTTTTATCCAACGACAATTCTGAGAGATTTCCTTCCAAATTAAATGTCTTTGTCAATTTGCTCTCGAAGCGTTTATTATCAAACGAAAAATATCCGATCGATATATATGTGATAACACACTTGTTCATTTTATTTTAATAAAACATGATATTTTTACTTTTAAGTAACCAGAGGCTGTTGATTTTAGTTGTAATAAATTAAAGATGTCACTAGCTTTGTCCCTACCTCTTTACCTGATATTCTCTAACCTTATTCCCCTTGTCAGCTTTAATGTTTTTCTGTGGTTTAAAATTGAATATTAATATAACTTTCGCCACTGGCCTATTGAGTGAAATTAAGTTCTATTAAGTGGTAATGAGGGTTTTAGTTTAGTTTGTGTATGTTTCTTCATATAGTTCGTTCACAAAGCTTACGTGGTAAGAGGAAGGAATTCGGGATTCTGCCACAAGTGATGGAATCCCTTCCCCTCAAACCACCTTAATTTTGTTTACGGAGTATAGAACATACATATGTTCAAAACGTCATTTGACATCCCATTCAATTTAAAACTCCCAATAACAACGAAGGAACTTATATCAACTCTTTCCCACTATAAATCCACGATTTGGAATAATTGCATTCTATGTTTTAATACGCTATTTTATGTTCATATCAATCAATGCACTTACAATTTAAACTGTTTGTTCACCAGAGAGCGACAAGGCGTTCCAGCAGGAGGCGGCGGAGGACGCTTCTCGCAAGTACGACATCAACAGACGTCGTCTGATACACAGGGCAAAGGTCAAGTCCTTTCGTATCAGTGTGGTGATAGTGGCGGCCTTCATAGTCTGGTGGACGCCGTACTACAGCATGATGATCATCTTCATGTTCCTCAACCCTGACAAACATGTAAGCTTACGAATCTGAACTAATTTGCTGAGTAAGCTGCTAAAAATGACAGTAGGCTTATTTTATATTTGATCTATACGTACAAGTACACCAGGGTGTTTATTTGAAAGTGGAGACGAGTGAATGATTGATAAAAGAATGACGTAATAGCTTTACTACTAACTGATCAGCTGATCATTTAGCCAGCGTCATTAATTAACTCAAACTACTTGAATCATTTTGCTTCTTAATACACGTCTACTCACAACTAGGCTGAGTTTCCTGCTGACTTATCTCAGGATCGAAACCTAGTCCCCTAGTCGGTAGTGTGCCGTGAAGCGATGGTAACAAGCAGGGAGTTGCAGGCTTTGACTAAACACCATTTTGACACACCTCAGGCCATAGAATAAACTAGCTCCAATTGAGAATCTTCATTGTTTAGTTCATTATTTCAATAAATAATATACTTTTGTGTATAAGATGTTTTTAGCCGTTTTAGAAACGTTAATTGGGTGCTGAAAGCTGTGTATTGCTGTTGATGCCAGCTGTCATCGTCATTTGGGGACTGAGCAGGTTATTGCGGTCATAGGGCCGTAAATCAGCTGTTTGCTTATTTACTTAAAATGTTAAATGTATAATACACAAGCTGTATCCATTAAGCCGTTTGCTGTAACCACATCTATAAAATTAAATTATTTTGACCTTACAGGCCTTATCATAAATATACAAGGCATTTGAAAATTATATTCTGCCATAACACAGAGCTTGTTAATGTATCAACTTCTGAATGATCAACAATGCAGTTTTTAACTACTGTAGTAACTTTACAACACAGTTCTGAAGAGGGCGTGTTTCAAGCATTCAAGCAGCAAACAATTCCAAAAGTTAAAGTAACATTGAAATCATTGAGTGATGACCAAAGTTGAATGTTAAATGAAATTATGAATACCAATGCGTAAACATATAACTTTACAGACAGAAATGTGCAAGCCAAAAGAATAGTTGAAAGTTATTGCCAGTGTGAGAGATAAATACCTTACTGTTCCACAATCCAAACCTATTGGGAATCAGAGCAAACTTTTGTGTTGTTTGTTCCTGGCCCACATAGTCAAAACAAGCAAACCTGGAACGTGCAGTCAGAAACGTTGTTTTAAAAGGTTAAAAAATAATTAAATAATGATTTTTTTTTCAATTATTATCTGGCTTATGATTTAATTTATCATTTTAGTAGAACCACTAGTTTTCAATACATAAACATATGAATTTTCGATATTTCTTACTTTCAAAAGTTTTTTTTCAGTGTATATGTAGTAATAGTATTTTTTTTTCTAAAATTCCACTTAACAGTAAAAAAAAATTGTAAAAGATACATTTACAAATTTTCAAGAAATAATTGGAATTGTTTACAATTTATACGTATATAAAAATGTAATAAATACGGTAATATGGCATATTAATATATTGTATTAATATTTTTTTCTCTTCTAAGAATGCAACACAATTATGAAGATGTTTCGAAAACCAGAGTCTAATCCCGTCTTCAATGTGGAAGGAACCTACAAAATTACAATAATAGCACACATAGAAAAAACCAAACAGGTGAACCGAGGTTAGATATCAGATCCCGAAATGTGTCCCAAAACTCGTTCTTTTACTAAACAGTTAAAACACAAATCAAAATTAAATTTTCAAATTACTTTGAAAATGACAACTCACTATCATCAACGATAAAAACATTCTAAATGTAAATGTATCATGAGGGTTATTATGCCCATCTTTACAATCCGAGAAGAATGAAGTTGATATTGAGAGAATTGTCAAGACTCTGTTCAATTGTTTTACCCAATTCTTTGTTGCCTTGATTCACTGTATTAAATGGACTATTTTGTTTTGCTTCAGCTCAGCGACGGGCTGCAGAAGTTGATATTCTTTTTCGGAATGTCCAACAGCCTCGTCAACCCAGTGATATATGGCGCGTTCCATCTCTGGCGACCCAAAAGAAAGAAGCAGGGAAGCTATAGGTATGAGATGCATATATTGAGACTGGCTAGTATACCCTTAGCATGGTGATTCTTTAGTTACTGAATCAACAATATTAGCCTTACATTAGTTTAGTTAGTTCAAGCACAATTAGATATAGCAAGCATCTAATTTATCAGTAATATTTTGTGAGATTGAAAGCTTTTCCTTTTGCAACTTGTTGCACAACTCTGTTTTCCTTGTTCTCTTTGAATAGTTTTATGAAAGTAGTCAGCATGGTAGTAGTGTGAATTCTAACACTTGAACAATATACGTTTAAGTGTGTTTGATCTAATTATTTTATATCTTATTCCTTTGTCTGATAGAGTGTTTCCATATTTCTGTTCAAATGAAATCGCACATATTTTTTATTGTATGTACTTGAGTACAATATTAAGTAAAACGAAATCAAATTATTTTATAAATTACGAGCACAAATTAAATGTCTACACAGTTATTTTTGGTAAGCATCACGATAAGGTCTAGAATGTAGATTTTTATTAAATAAAAAGGAACGATACCAGTAATATTTAATTCTGATGAATTACTAGGAAATCTGTAAATTACAATGGTTCCGAATTAAATCATAATTTTGATTTTGATTTTTTACTTAAAACACTTGTAAAACATTCAAATTGTTGGTTATATTTGTTATTTAATGAGCCTTAAGTGTTTAATATATTTACATTGTGTTTTTTATTCCACCACTTTTAGTATCTAAATATGTTTTTGTAAGATATTTCTGTAAACAAGTTTAAAAACAGGAAGATTTCTATGCTTGATGGGAATTTTTGTTTAATTACTCATAACCAATTATTCAATAATTACGCGTCCAACATACTTGAGGTCGTCGACCTCAGTAATTATATGTGGACAGCAAATATGTGACAATTATAGATACCATTATATTTTAGTGCATTTTGTTATAAAATTAATAGAAATATACTTCTTAAACTAAATGTATACTACTTCAAATAGCTTATGCCATAAGATTATTTACAACAGCTCACCGAAACTATCGGTTTTTACTTTCTGTTTTCTTTTCGTCTGGATTTCTGTTTCTTTCCCCACTGTTTTACTAACGTCTTGCCTCACCTTTTGTTCTGTGTTGCTTGTCTGCACGTCATTGACTGTTCTGCCTGTTTCCTCTTCTCTCTCCAAGGTACATAACGACGGCCTCCTGGAGAGCCTAGGATGGTCTCAGACCCTTCGCCCTAGCTATCTGTGTGGAACATCACCCTCTGCATGGCTCGGTACCTCTTGCCAAGGTAGGGCTCACGTGTAGCAGCGATAAGTCTGAAGAGATTCATTGGTGGGGTTTAGAACTTGTAAATTCACAGTTCAATGAATGTTTAGTAACGATTTGTTTGTCAATGTCAAATAACAAATTATTTGTAATAAAATGATTTGTTGGTGCAGTGATGCAGCACAAAGCATGTGTAGTACACACTTGCAGGATTAAGATGTAGGTAGTCAGGCATAAAATATACACAATACGATCAATGTTGAGAATATTGTACATATTTACGTTACGCAGAAAGTGTTGTGAAATTTACGAGTACTAAAGGTGACATTATGGTGTTTCTAACGAGTTGTGACAGCCCACACGACTTTGTAAGCGTAAACAGCTTCTACTTAGCTAAGGGAAATTTGCGGAAACGAATGATATTTGATTAATCTAGATCCTGATCTTAGTAGAAATTACCAGATCTGACCAGTCTCGACTAAAAACTAAATACAATGTAAGTAACCTGAAAATAATTGTCTGGGAAGCCAAATAGTTGCAGTACTCGCCTTTAGACCTGAAGGTCGCTGGTTCAATTCCAAGTGAGATCGTTTCTGAACCCAGATATCATGTGTCATTGCGCTACTAAATAATCATTAATATATATTGTTGTCTTACACAGATTAAAGTTAGATAGTGGCAAGAAGAGGGTTGGTCTGGATTGGCTTATATCTCATGTACGTTGTAACGTTGTAATTTGCAGTAGACATTTAATGGACGATATCAACAGAAGTGCCTCTGTTTCAGAGATGGATCCACACAGCAGACTGCCAACTCAGTGGTCACTCGATTAAGTCGCGTCGGAACACTGAGAGACGAAACCAGCTGCGTGCTTCTGGGATCAGAGAAGACCCACCACCTAAGGACAGACTGTTGTACGGCGAACAACTGTAGCGTCTCGGCTCTCTAGCGTCAACATAGGCGGTGCTGCAGTGCTGACGTGGCGTTGTAGCAGCACCACCTGAGGACAGACTGTTGTACGGCGAACAACTGTAGCGTCTCAGCCCTCTAGCGTCAACATAAGCGGTGCTGCAGTGCTGACGTGGCGTTGTAGCGGCACCACCTGCGGACAGACTGTTGTACGGCGAACAACTGTAGCGTCTCGGCCCTCTAGCGTCAACATAAGCGGTGCTGCAGTGCTGACGTGGCGTTGTAGCGGCACCACCTGAGGACAGACTGTTGTACGGCGAACAACTGTTGCGTCTCAGCTCTCTAGCGTCAACATAAGCGGTGCTGCAGTGCTGACGTAGCGTTGTAGCGGCACCACCTGAGGACAGACTGTTGTACGGCGAACAACTGTAGCGTCTCAGCTCTCTAGCGTCAACATAAGCGGTGCTGCAGTGCTGACGTAGCGTTGTAGTGGCACCACCTGAGGACAGACTGTTGTATGGCGAACAACTGTAGCGTCTCAGCCCTCTAGCGTCAACATAAGCGGTGCTGCAGTGCTGACGTGGCGTTGTAGCGGCACCACCTGAGGTCAGACTGTTGTACGGCGAACAACTGTGGCGTATCGGCTCTCTAGCGTCAACATAAGCGGTGCTGCAGTGCTGACGTAGCGTTGTAGTGGCACCACCTGAGGACAGACTGTTGTATGGCGAACAACTGTAGCGTCTCGGCTCTCTAGCGTCAACATAAGCGGTGCTGCAGTGCTGACGTGGCGTTGTAGTGGCACCACCTGAGGACAGACTGTTGTACGGCGAACAACTGTAGCGTCTCGGCTCTCTAGCGTCTCGGCCCTCTAGCGTCAACATAAGCGGTGCTGCAGTGCTGACGTAGCGTTGTAGTGGCACCACCTGAGGACAGACTGTTGTATGGCGAACAACTGTAGCGTCTCGGCCCACTAGCGTCAACATAAGCGGTGCTGCAGTGCTGACGTGGCGTTGTAGCGGCACCACCTGAGGTCAGACTGTTGTACGGCGCACAACTGTGGCGTATCGGCTCTCTAGCGTCAACATAAGCGGTGCTGCAGTGCTGACGTGGCGCTGTAGCAGCACCACCTGAGGTCAGACTGTTGTATGGCGAACAACTGTAGCGTCTCGGCCCACTAGCGTCAACATAAGCGGTGCTGCAGTGCTGACGTGGCGTTGTAGCGGCACCACCTGAGGTCAGACTGTTGTACGGCGCACAACTGTGGCGTATCGGCCCTCTAGCGTCAACATAAGCGGTGCTGCAGTGCTGACGTAGCGTTGTAGTGGCACCACCTGAGGACAGACTGTTGTATGGCGAACAACTGTAGCGTCTCGGCTCTCTAGCGTCAACATAAGCGGTGCTGCAGTGCTGACGTGGCGTTGTAGCGGCACCACCTGAGGACAGACTGTTGTACGGCGCACAACTGTGGCGTATCGGCCCTCTAGCGTCAACATAAGCGGTGCTGCAGTGCTGACGTAGCGTTGTAGTGGCACCACCTGAGGACAGACTGTTGTATGGCGAACAACTGTAGCGTCTCGGCTCTCTAGCGTCAACATAAGCGGTGCTGCAGTGCTGACGTGGCGTTGTAGTGGCACCACCTGAGGACAGACTGTTGTACGGCGAACAACTGTAGCGTCTCGGCTCTCTAGCGTCAACATAAGCGGTGCTGCAGTGCTGACGTAGCGTTGTAGCGGCACCACCTGAGGTCAGACTGTTGTACGGCGAACAACTGTAGCGTCTCGGCCCTCTAGCGTCAACATGCCCTCGCCATCTGCGCCCTTACCATGCACAGGCCCTCAACATCTGCAGTGCTAACGTAGTGTTGTAGCGTCACCTCAGACTGTTGTACGGCGAACAACTGTAGCGTATCGGCTCTCCAGCGTCAACATAAGTGGTGCTGCAGTGCTGACGTAGCGTTGTAGCGTCACCACCTGAAGACAGAATTTAACGGACTTGAATGCATAGAAAAAGGATTTTAATGTTTCAATATAATTTTTAAACTTAGAAAGCAGTATTGCAATTTTTAGAACAGTTTCTTTACAATAATACAACAAAGGTCATGAAAGTTAATTGTTCAAAGGACATCCTGTTGTTACGGAGAAAACTTGGAATTTTTAAAATGCGATCAACTACTTTGACTAGTGACAAGCTTCTAAATATATTTTATGTGTCGATGTTGGCTGCATTTAATGTCCATCATAAACCATTGTTAAATCCAATAATTTAATCTGCTCAAAGCTCAAAGTCATTGTTAATTTAAATAGATAATGTCAGGCATTTTATTGTACATAAAAGTAATCTAGATATTTTTAAGAACCACGAATTCATTAGTTTAAATTTAATTAATGAAGCCATTTTTTCAGTATTTCATGTTTCAAGAAATCTAGATGATATGTACCTCAAATATTTTTACTAAAATTCTCATATATTTTTATACATTTGTGAATACTTTTTTCCCATATAGTTGTTCATGTAATGTTTGTCCACTTCTTTAAACAATTTTTTTTTTAGATTCCATGTTGGAATGATACTGTTTATCAGCACTATTACCTTCATTGTATCAACCTTTAATGTGCAAAAAACAATTACTTGTGCAAGAATTATAATTTCTCAGTCAATACAATATAACTTAACAAAATATCAAGTTTCACAACCATTGAAACAGAATCATGAGAGGCGAATAGAGACAAATAGTTTTATTTATTTCAGTATTACAATTGAGAGTATCACAATGCAATTTTGTGTAATCAGTATTAATTTTGCCCACAACAGTAATGTTTACAAAAGCACCAACGGTTGTGTCGTTATACACGTGTTTTGATTGTTGATTGTTGCCAACATGTCGTATTATTTCACTGTGATACGTTTGATGGAATGTCACAGATTTTCTGTGACTCATCAACTTAGCGAGTCTCATCAACATGCTGTGATCTAGCTGTGAAGTTCTAAAAACATAAAATGTAATCTATTTGGTGACTAAAACCATAGACCGACAGCAGTGCTGCGGTTAGCATGCGCCGTAACACGACACTCCAAGCGGCGGACGCCAGAACTTATGCTAACCACAGCACTGCTGTCCATCTTAAAACCAAACCATGACATAAAGTTGACAGAAAAAAACAGTTCATTGTGATTACTAAACCTGTTAATATATTTTTTTCTGTAACATTTTAAAACAATTTTTAAGCCAAATAATCAAATACCGTTGCACTGTAAGGTGATATAAGATCAGAGATATACTTCAATATTTTGTAATGCTTTTAACGTGAAATTGTTTATTGTACGTATATGATTTAGAATGCTGCGTTAATTCTCATCTAAATTATTAACATGTTACATTTAGTAAACAATGATTGCTATTACAGCATTACTTTAAAAAAGTATACATAGACATCACATCAACATTTTGAAATGTTTCTGACTTCTTGGTCAAGTGATTTTAACAAAACTTAGAAAATTTAACTATCAAATCTTACGTAATCATATAAATAAAGAGTCCTTGAACTTGAAAACGTTTGAATTTTGTAAAACCGTATGGAATTCGTATTCATGTATCTTCATGTAATATTGAGTGTGCATTTGTTACTTTCTAAACATGCATGTTTTTTACTACCACTAAGTCTATGTGTTTGTGTATAATTTTACGATTATTTTTTTAGGCCAAGATATGTTTATTAGTTTCAAAATACTCTAGACAAAATTGTGGCTTTTTAACTCCTTTTCAGTCTCAAGTCCATTACCACTCGTAGTTTAAAATGTAAATATACTGGAGTGAAAAAGTAAATTAAACTTTTCTTCAAAAAATCAATACTACACAAATGAGTTATACCTCAACCGTACCAATATTATTTGAAAAAATCATTACGATAATAATAGCCAATATCGCAACATTGCTTATTTGTGGGCTTAACATGTTACAGCTACATTGTAAACATGATTTTGGTGATTTATACAATGACAACCAAAGAAGCGTTCAAATATGTACTCCGTGTAATTTGTACCGTTTGTGTATATAATGTACATTTCTCATGTTATGTATATAGTTATATTTTATAATGTGTATAAACATGTTTCAACATTTTGAAGAATATTTTTATTTATGGGATCCTAAAGCCACAGGTTTGATACGTGTTTGACTACTAAAATTAGTTTTTACATTTCTCAATTACATAATTGTGATATATCACTTTTGGTCCGTATTACACATTTATTACATAAGCTAATTAACTCAAATGCAACATTTAATTTTTCACTAATTAGATTTTGACTTTATACAATTTTCTTTAGTTCAAAAGGATACTTTTAGTATTTCTAAAAATACAATTGAAAATAATAGTGCTTTTAGGAAAGTCTTTGAGGCACTCCACGTCTGATTGACCCATCCTTCGTTAGTTTCCTGAAGACACCCTGCAGCCAATTAGGTATTCCAACCCATCAGATGTAGGGCATTGCACATTGTTGTCCAAAGAAGATGACCAAAGAATTTTGGTGATTTACTGAATTTTAACCGGGCCTTCGGGAAAGAAGCTCCGTTTTCTATCTCTAGACCAGCGCTATTGTCCTAAGTACCTCGGGGGAGTGAGGTCTAGTGGTAGAGTGCGGGGATTCAGAGCCTGAGGTCATGGGTTCAAATCCCACCAATCATTAATAGAGATCTTTTTTATGGTAATGCCACGGTCATCTAGTACTAGCCTAAAGTAATGTGTAAAACAGTTCCGGGCAGAGTCTAGCGCACTAGGATGTGAAAGTGAGATATAAAAAAAGTTCCCAGGTATCTTAGTATTTCCAAGCATTTTTACTTCCAAACAGGCAGTGTTGTATTTTTTAATTTTTTAGGATATATTAAGACTTGAATATGTTTTTATTGTTATCTTTAGGGCAAAACCAATTTATTTTAAGTAAGGTTGTATACCACAGTTTACTTCCTGAGATATGATAATGCTAACAATAGGTAACACTACTTTACCAAATGTCAGACTGAAATGATTATTAAATGCCTGGTTGGTCGTGCCACTTGAATTAATGATCACTATCTTTACACAGAAATAGCATATTTGGAATACACAGATACTTACCACCCTGTGAATATAAACAGTGTATAAATGGCTACACAAGTCGAAGGTGCATGGGTAAGATAAATGAAGCGCCACCTAATAGTTAGTAATTTCCCCGGATTTTCACAGTAAGGGTAGAATGCGTTGTGGTAATATCTCACTGTCCTTCATCCCCAGTAGCTGGGGTGATTTATCATTGTTATCTTATCTTTCTCCCACTCTCGCTCTTACTTCCCAGACAGTGGAATAAAGATTAATAAACTTTACAATATTTTTCCCACGGAAAGGTCAAGGTTCAAACTGTAATTAATGTTCACGAAGAAAAAATATTGAAATTGTAATGATTGAGTTTTGACTCAAAGATTTACATTGTTTTACAGACAATATACTTAAAAAATCTATGAAAGAACCGCAAATTAATTTTCAATATTTTAAAATAATGATTGGTTTAAAATATTGATTGGTTTTTTGAACAGTCGTTTCAATGCATAGCGCGTTCCGCCATCTTTACCCCCCTCCCCCCAAGTTCTCGACCACCTGAAAAGTAGGCGACATGTGTATTTTTTATCACCACAGTCCATATTACAACTATCAACAAAGATATTTGATATTACTTCTTTGCGACACTCATAAATTAATTCTACTTTCGGTAAAAAAAACTACACGAAAAGTCCATTTTTACATATTTTATACAATAACTTGTTTATTTATAGAGGTACGTCCTCGGACTCAATAACCATTATTGTAGTCCACATTTTTGGAATTATAACGACGTTTTAACCGATGTTCTATCTTTTACCGTTTTCGAAATATCAGCGTTTTAATGCATAGCGCAAACCGCCATGTTTGCCCCCTCCCCCCCACCTTATCGACCACTTTTGAAATAGGCGACATACGTAATTTTGATCACAACAGTCCATATTACAATAATCAGCAATAACATTGCGTACTACTTTCATGCATGCTCAAACCCCCTCAGCTCCTGGACTATTAGTTAAAATTAGCTGTTTTCATAAATGCAAAAAAATATAGTGCTGCACCCTGTTGGTAAATCTTAAAACCTTTAATGATTCTGCATATCATAGAACCAACTTGTTTAGTTGAAACAGCTTACTAAATTATTTAATTCCCTTTAAATATGAATACTCATAAGGTTAAAATGAGAAACTACAGAGCCACTGGGGTGGAGCCCGAAAGGATTTTTGAGATAAGAATATGTCTATGTTAATCGGGAACGTGAGCTACCATCATGCCAAATTTCAGCCCAATCCGTCCAGTAGTTAATGCGTGATTGAACTTCAAACAAACAAACAAACAAACTTTCACATCTATATAAATAAATTTATAATATTAGTAAGATTAAAACAACAACTAAAACATAACCTCTCATTGCCGCTGACAGTGATGCAACTATACATTGTACCAAACACTAATTATTGCACCACTCAACAATTAAATTGGCCTGAACAGCAGATTAGTTAAAGTTTAAAGCATTACAATTTTACTTCTTATCTCTCAATCCTTGAACCTCATTGGCACGTTACCCGTGTTGTTAAGTAAAAAATGAAGTTCAAGAATTGAGAGAAAATAAGAAAATTGTAATGCTTCGATCTTCATCTAATCAGCTGTTTACCAAGTTAATTGTTAATTATCGTTGCAATTTGCGGTTGGAACAATGAGTGCAGTGAGTGTGTTTGCATCACATTACGTAATGCTAGTAGATACTGATGAGCAAGGTAATCAAAATCAACCTGTAGATAGCCCTATGTGTTTTAGACAACGTGTCACTCATCGGATTTGACAACATGAAATGTGACGGTTAACTACAATCAAAACAGCAACAATGCATTAATGAATGGCATCAGATAGTAATTGATTATTATTGGAGATACAATGAGCCTGCTTTAATATTCACAACCATACACAGCACTAATTATTCACAATAATGAATTGAATCAATGATTTCATATTAAATACTAGCCGAATAAAAAGTATCTTCCAAATATTAAAGACGGTCATATTTTTAGTAATATGGTATGACGAAAATGTAAATCATCATACTACATTGCAACGGAGTATTTACTCTAAAATTTACATGTAACTGTTTACATTTCTTACTTTACACCCCCAACAACCCTCTCCACCAAACAGACATAGAATCTGTCAGACCAATCCTTTTGTCTTCCAGACGAAAACACTAAGCACTGACTGACAGACAGACAGTTTCAGATTTTCTTTAACATTCGACTAACACAAACTTGAGAGAAACGATATCTTTCAGTGTTTTAAAATTGAATGGACGCTTTTGTAAATGCAAAAAAGCATTATTTTCCGTACTGTGATTCTTATCAGCATGTACTTTGAATTATAATTTTTATTTATATACCAACATGAATAAATAATACAGCCTGTTGGTATAA